AGCTAAAAGGGCCCTGGGTTGGAGCCCGGTAGAGTGGGGTGGCCCGGGCTCCCCTCCCCACAGCCCTCTTGGCAGTCCATGGTTGTGGCCATTACCACTAGGCCACGCTTCCCAACCAGACCCTGAGTGGAGACCATTACACACACACTTTGGTGGACAGGATTAGAATTCAGAATGATCTTGACAAATTGGAGAATTGGTCTGAATTCACTAAGATGAAATTCAATAAAGACAAGTGCAAAGTATTTCACTTAGGAAGGCAAAATCAAGTGCCCAGCTACAAAATGGGGAATAACTGAGAAGGTGGTAGTACTGCATTTGATACGAGATGTCGTAAGCATCCCACAGTTATTTCCTGATATTAGTAGAGGGGAGGAAAAATTGTTATATCACATCACTGTGGTAACTTGACAAATGCAGACTTTCTAATGGGGACTTCGGTACTGGATGTGCTTCTCTCATAAAGAATTTCACTACTCTACATCATTTTTAAAAGTGTTTTTGGTTGACTGTCCTCTTTAGTGTAACATGCTCCAGGGTTTGATAAACACAGGAAATTACAAGGCATATGATGTAGCAAAGGAATCTGCAGGGAAGGAGAGCTACACGCATATATTGTATCCTCCAACTTGACAGTAGTTTGTATCCTGATCCAGTATAGGATATGTTGTCTCATTTTCCCATTATTAAAAAAAGGTATTAATATAGTACTTCTAAAAACTACTAACAAAGCTTTGTGAATAACCAGGCAGTGTGTTAGCTTCCCTGTGCAGTATGCCTCTGTGCTGTCTGGGGAAGCATGGATCAGCATTCATGTCACACTCCCCATCAATACCTGACCCGAGCTGGGGAAGCTAATGATCCAACCAGCAGACCAAATTTGGTGATGAATCCTGGTCACATGCCACTTGAGGCAAATTGCTCATACACTAAAAAGAAGTGCTGTCTGGCAAACCTAGCCCTGGGACTTGTAACCAGTCCTGTGTACCATATTAGTGCGGTGTGAACAAATAGTCACTAGGGCAGTGATCCCCAAACTTTTAGCCTTGTGCCCCACCTTACCCCTGGCTGCCCCCTCCCCCAGAGCTGGGGCCGGGAGTGGGGCCATGGCTCCGGGGGGGGGGGGCCAAGGGGGCCGAGACTGGGGCCACAGCTTGGGGCAGGGCTGGTAGCCAGGGCCCTGGGCGCAGGGCCGGCAGCCTGGACCCCAAGTACTGTAGCCAGACAGCCAGCCCCCCCCTCTCAGACCAGCATTGCTGGAAACACAGGAGGAAGCCCGAACAGGGCACTTAACATATATTCCAGCACAGCCTTTGAAGCTGTGAAAAGCACAGGTGTGCTGCTACAATGTGCCTCTGGGAACAGATACAACGATTAAGCTCACAGCAGGCAGAGGCCCTGTGACAGACATGGCTCTTAGCCCCTACTAAATAGCGTGATGCACACACACCAACATCCTAGGTGGGAAAATATTTACCCTGATAAAAGAAATGTCCAGTAGTCGACACTTATTGTTTCTCTCCCTTGCAAGTGTAAACTACTCTTGCGAAAGCTGGCGTCACCCAGACAGACCAGCCTCAATTTGGCATAAGAAAGGAGAAAGAGAATAAAGGAGTACAGAGGTATAAGTAGGGGACCTACAGCACCATGATTTTTGAGTGCTTTTCACTATCTATCTGCTGGTCAGATAAGTGACAGCCTCCCAAGGCTTCTGCAGCTAAGAGGGTCCCTAAGCCTTGTCCCTTATTCATCTTTCCGTGGAATTGAGTGACCGATCCTGGCTTGGCACCGCTGGAATCGAGAGATGCAAGGAGGGTAAGAAGCACCCACACCTGATCTCCTATCTTTAGTGTACACATATTTTGAAATAGAGCTCTATACTTTGTTTTCTTTCTTTGGGATTGTGGCTTCAGTTTTGTAACTTGTTTATGTGTGTAACATCTCTACATTTAAATAAGTAGGCACTAGCAATTTTGTAACCACATGATTAGAATCTAGCTTAATAAATTTTGGTAACCATTTGTGCATAAGTCTGACTTGTTTTCTCTGGTTTACTGTAAAGCAGCCGACACAATTAAAGAACCTCAGCCGTTTTGGCTCTAAAGCCTGGCCATTAGGTGAGAGTACTAAGAGCCTAGCGTTGAGTTGTGCCGCCTCCACGGGGCAAACTCTTGGGGCACCTGTCAGTCAATCCTGGCTGCCCGCTGCGAAGGAGCTCTGAGCTCTAGCAGTTAAAGTCACGGGTGTGGAGAGGCTCTTAGTGCTGCCATTGGGGCACCTGTCAGTCAGTATTGACTGCCCGCTGCGAAGGAGCTCTGAGCTCTAGCAGTTAAAGTCACGGGTGGTTAGGACCTTGGGGCATCCGTCAGCCTAGCCCGGGCTGCCCGCCGCGAAGGGACAGTGCGTCCTAGCGGTTAAAGTCACGGATGGTATAAACAGGCATAGCTGGCACCTCACCAAACATCCTTGGCCGTCGGCTAACAAGTACATGGCCGGGAGCGGAGCCTTGCGTGCGGAGCCTTGAGTGCGGGGCCAGGAGCAGAGCCAGCAGCTGGGGCTGGTGACACGAGTGGAGCTGGGTGGGGCTCCTTCCCTGCCTCCTGTTGGGGCTGGCCCAGTCCCCAGCCACTTCTTCCCGAATGTTCCTCTCTGCCCCCCGAGGGGGGTGCGCCTCATAATTTGGGGACCTCTGCACTAGAGAATAGTCTGAGTGATGTTTTAACTCTGACTGGAGTTTAATTTAGGTCTTCAAAGGCACAAATGAATGCATGAAACCATAATGTTCCACTTACTGCATAGCTTGTTTCATATCCAGAGGATTTTGAATAACAACTGACTCTTTCAAATCTGCTTAAGAGTATTAAAGCATAATTTACCTGACTGCTCCCTAAGTCTACGAGCCGACATCCTTCCTTCCATTGTGTGCTGTGACACCCAGCTGGGAGGGGTATGACATAACAAGGAGCATGTATGCTGTAGCTGATGAATATGGATTTTTGTGGGACCTGGAAGATACAGATTTATAGGGGATACATCAATTTAAAGCATAATTCTGTTTGATTTTTTTTTTTTTACAAGTGACACCTGGCTGTATAACTCAAAGATCAGAGATCATCTATCTTTATGTGTGCTTACTTTGTTTACTTTGTGCATTTGACAGCACTTATGTGTACTCATTTTCTGTTTCCCCTATTTGGAAAAGTGTGATTTCCCCCCTTCTTACTTTGAAAGAGAAATATGAATTGTAAATGGGCTATCTGGACATGTTTTAGGGCAGGAAATAACTTCTGCAATGTCAGTCTTCTTATTACCTTGCTTAATAGCTTATTCTTGTAGTCTCAGGTGTTATTGACTATGTACTAAATATGGCAGTAACATGCTGATCTGCTTTTGAACCAGACATATTGTAATTGTAACCTTTCTTTAATTGAGGGCTTCTTATGGATTTAATTGCATCTCTAATCCGGTATCTTGCTTTGATGTATGGTGTAGAGTAAGGCTTTGCACCTGCAGTGAATGATGAATAAGACTGAATAAAACATTTCTAATGAATGGCATTCAGTGAGATCAAAACACAGAGAGGGATCTCCTGTCCCCAGAATTTCAGATCGTGTTGGTGCTGCAAAGAGTAAAACCAAACTAGCAAGGTGCTGCTGAATAGTGGAAAAGATGCATGCACGAGTGAGGAGCTCTTGAATCAGAATCTCTTAAAATTACATAAAAAGAAAAGGAAGACTTGTGGCACCTTAGAGACTAACAATGCATCCAATGAAGTGAGCTGTAGCTCACGAAAGCTCATGCTCAAATAAATTTGTTAGTCTCTAAAGTGCCACAAGTACTCCTTTTCTTTTTGCGGATACAGACTAACACGGCTGCTACTCTGAAACTTAAAATTACATCTCACTCCCAAACTTGAATGGTTAGGCATTGGTGCTTGTGGTGATCTCTGCTGGGCAGATCAAGAAATGGACTTGCTTTGGCAGACAATGCCACATCTCCCTGTTCTGATAGTTTGGTAATAATTATCTCACAGATCTTTCCTCTATGTTAGACACATTTTTTTACTTCCTTTGTACACACTCCAATGTGATTTCTGTGTGGGTCGGGACTCCTTTGTTCTAGCCCAGGGGTTCTCTGATGCTCTCACAGGGCAGAACAAATGCTAGTAGGCTGCCTCAAGGATCTCTTCCCTTCCCGTTTGTGACTATGTGGGTCTCCTCCCCTCCACATGCAACTGGGCAACATCCTTGTGACCTCTTCAGCCACTGGTTCTATGAAAAGGTAATATTGGGAAGTTATCTGATGTATTTTTAGCGTGTAATGGAGTTTAGCAGTTGGAAACAAGTAGAGCTGACACTACGTGACCAGCCAACATTACGTGGGCAGTCAATGTGTACTTTGTGGATCACAGACCACAGCTGGAAAATGGCTGTATAAGGTGGTATTTAAGAAGGAGAAGGGAAAGATTCTAGAGCCTTCGTTTTCTATTTATATATGATTGACTGCATACGATGGGAATTCTATGATCATTATTGCGAAAGTGAAAAATCTAATCCATATTTGCTCCAAAATCTGCTGACCTGAATGGCATTGTTGTTTTAGCATTCACTAGTGGGTGGCAGGAGGCAGAAATGGGCTCTAAGTATTTATACTGTCTTTCACTGATCTCTTTGCCAGTATAATCTCAACACCTGGAATGTTGTGTGTAACTTTTTTTGTCTTAGAGCGACCAGTTCTGGAAATTTTATAATCCTTCTCATTTTGCAAAATTATGTAAACTTGTAAGACTCGGGCTAGGATTTTTAAAGCAGCCTAAGGGAATTAGGCACCCAAAGACCACTGAAATTCAGTGGTATTTGGACAACTAACTCCTTTAGGATCCTTTGAAAATTGAAGCCTACATATATCAAATTATAACTGATAGTCTTCCTAGAAATACCTTACTCAACAAGATAGTCTTCTTAGAAATACCTTACTCAGCAATCTGTGTTTCTCTTCAGGTTTTTGCATTATAGAGAGACATGGGTAATTTCAAAGGTCATGCTCTGCCTGGAAGTTTTTTCCTCCTCTTTGGCTTGTGGTGGTCAGTGAAGTACCCGCTAAAGTATGTCTGTCGAAAGAACAAGAATGCTTGTTACCTTGGTTCCAGAGCAGGATTTCAGCGCTTGGAATTTATTGAGGGGATCGTCAAAGCAGTATTTGCCCTGATTGGTAAGTCAGACTCTGATTTTAAAGAGAGAATAAAAAGATGAGGGCTATGCTAGTTAATATTTTTATCTTTTAAAATTATCTATTTACTGTCAGTTTTATTATAGAGCTGGTCGTTGTTTTAAAAAAAGAAACTAAAGCCTATGAATTAATGTCATAATAACAGTGAGGGTGATTAACCATTAGAACAAACTACCAAGGGAAGTGGTGGATTCTCCACCTCTTGATGTCTTCAGATCAAGACTGGAGGCCTTTCTAGAAAATATGCTTTAGCCAAACACAAATTATTGGGCTCATACAGGGGTAACTTGGTGAAATTTCATGGCCTGTGGAAGACATATATACAGAGGTCTGACTAGATGATCTAATGGTCCCTTCTGGCCTTATAGTCTATAAATAACTGGAGTCACATTCAGTCATTCCATACTTAAGGTTGTAACATGTTTCCTGTCTAAAGCTGAATTTTGAAGCCCCTTTAAGATCCGCACACTCTCTACACATATCAGTTTGCCAATTCAGGTGTTGGGATAGAGGTTGTGGTACAAATGTGTGGTCATTGACCTGGGGCTCTCATATGCAAACTGGCAACCGCAGGCAGGGTGGGCAGTGCTTGCCCTTTTTGAATGTACTTCATTACATTCATTACATTTGAGCTGTAGCTCACGAAAGCTTATGCTCAAATAAATTGGTTAGTCTCTAAGGTGCCACAAGTCCTCCTTTTCTTTTTGTGTCTACCTGGTGAAACTCAGAAGTGAAAATATCTACCCTTTTTTAAAAGAACCAAACCTTCTGAGCAGCAGAATCACTACCTGAGATTGCCACTTCGCATTCTGTTATGAGATGGCTTAGAAACAAAGCAAAATAAAAGCCAGACCGATGGCTTAGTGGACTAAGCAGCTGATTTGAAACCTTTGCCTCGTTCAAATCACAGTACAGTCTAATTTAGCAGTTTTCCCTTAGGAAGCAGGTAACTTGAGTATTTGGGAGCTCACTGTGTGTGGTCTCAAGACTTAGATATTGAAATGGGGCCACAATGTTACTTTTAGCTATTTGCTTTGTAGGGATAATAAAGATTCCATGGTATTTCTAATAAGACATGGGCTTTGTCCTCTTCTGCTCTGTCACAGTCTCCTTCCTGCTTGTCCCCACACTCCACATCTCCAGTTGGCTACTGCCTTCCATCCCAGAGATGGCTGCACTTCAGTGATGCTGTATGTACAGTACATAATTTGAGATACTCTGAGAGCAAATATGTACAATTATATATTATCCCCTGACAGAAAAATTCTCTTCAGATCCACCGTGAGATCTGTAGAGCTGATATTATGTTGGAATGCAAAATACTAAATCAGTGCTTTCTTTTTTGCTGCAGCAATGTATTGTTTTACTGTATTGTAACTTAGCTCTCAGTCCAAAGAATGGAGAGGAAAGACTGAGGGAGAAGGAATGAAAGCACCAGTGTTGGAGTACGTGGATGTGTATGGCACTGAAACAAATTTGGAAAAAATGTGCATTTGCCCCTTAATATAACATCTTGTATCCTGTAGGGGGATAGTGGGATCCATTATGCTGCATATAATCTTCAGTTTAAAATATATATTTACATGTATAGAGTGTCTCAACACAAAGTGCTTCACAAACTACCATGTACACTCAAAATATCACTCAAATGCAGCCTTCACTGGGATGGAGGGTTGTAGCTACACAACTGTGTTCGGGCGGGAGGGGCTGTCCAAAAAAAGCAGTGTAAATCCCTACGTTTAGCAAAAAGTCCCCTTGGAGCTTTAATGCTCATACACAGCAGAGATGGACCCTTGCCTTTAAGGCATCATAGGAAAGGTCCCCTGGAAGTCAACTAATTGTCATACCACTGTATGTACTGCAGAGGGGTGAAAGGCTAAAGTGTCCCTGCTGGGACTTGAACTTGTGGTTCTAATCTAAGGAATTAAGAGATGTGAAACCCATTCTTAAACCACTGTGTATCCAGAGAAAAAGATTGTTAAAGATTTAGTCAGATGATCACCGACTATAGCAAATGTTTGATTAGAAAGCAACATAAAGTGGTGATCTGCACTGTTAATGGCTGCATGATACCAGGACAATAGCAGGACTGGCCTGCTGCTGCTGCTGAGTAAAGTACTGTCTTTACTGAATGGCTAAAGACTTAAAATCCGTCTGTGCCCTAATTAAGCTCCAGGATAGCCACCAATGCTTCCCCTGTTATTTCATATGCAGGTATGCTAGCTGAGCAGTTTGTTCCTGATGGGCCTCATCTGAAGTTGTATAATTATGAGGAAAAACACTGGGATCACTTGATGAACTGGCAGCATGCCACCATGTATCTCTTCTACAGCATCTCAGGGCTGGTTGACATTGTGGCTCATGGCACCAGTGCATTGCCTGTGGCCTTGGATAGGATGATGCTTTCATTAGCAGTTTTCATTGAAGGTGAGTTTACTTGTGTGTTCAGAACCTGGAGGAAAATAAGGAGCCAATCAACCAAATATATTATTATGTATTATTATTAAAGAAGCAATTATTTGGACTGAAACTGAAGCCTAAGGGAGTTAAGTTCCCAAATTTTAATAGGAGTTGGGCACTTAACTCCCTTAAGCTCCTTTGAAAAATCTCAGCCTTGATCTGTCTAGATTTTAACTAAGTGTACGGAAAACAAAATGAGTGTATTATAGCATCACCTTTGTTACGCTTTAGAGACAGTTTAGTAACATTTTATGTTAATCCCGTTTTTAATAAAGGATTATAGGGCAAATCCCCTCCCTGTTTCCCAATCAGAGTAGTGGGCTGGGCTTTGGGGAGAGTCACAGAGGAAATGTGGTGAGGAATCAACACCCTTTTCCTGCTGTCCTCCAAACTGGCTGCACCCAGCCTCAGTGTTATATGGTGTTCTGACTATGTAACTGTAACCTGATTATAAAAGCATGTATGTATGTACAATTATATGTCTCCCCCTCTCCCTCCTTTTGTGTCTGCTTCCGTCTTATAGTACAAAGGAGCCTAATCCCGATTGGGGCCTCTGGGTACTACCATAATATAAATATTACCTTTGTGCATTTCTAAGCTTAACTCACTTTGGAATAAACATTTTAAAGGGAGCTTGATACAGAAGGAACAGTTCACAGTTTCTAGTGGGAGATTAGGGGAACTGTTGGGCATCATTAAAACAAATGCCTGGTGTTGTACTATTCTCTCTTAAAAGATTGATCAGTTCCTATGTTGTCACAGGTTTTCTCTTTTATTACCACATACATGGGCGAGCCATGCTGGATTTTCACGTTCATCAGTTACTTTTAGTGGCTATCTTTGGAGCAGCCTTTTGCATATTTCTGGAAGTCTTCTTCCGTGGCAGCATTGTCCTTGAGATGCTCCGGACAAGTCTCTGCATTCTGCAAGGTAGCTGGCTCTGGCAGGTGAGTCAATGTTTCCAGCTATTAGGATTCCCTCCTTTGACTGTAATACTTGCTTTATCCCTTTGCTGCTTCTCCATTGGCATGCTGGTACTTCAGATATGACCTACTATGCATTTACACAGTGCCTTTTATGCACAGATCTCAAACCACTCATAAATAACGACTAATCCTGAATTTCCCTGCAAGGATATAGAAGTGCTTAGTACACATTTTACAGATGGGGAAGCCATTTTACCAGTACATCTCTTTCCCAAAGCCAGACATTGACTCAATGAGTGAACTAAGAATAGAACCCAGGAGTTCAGCTTTAGTCCTTCGCTGTAATGACTAGATAGTCCCAACCCTAGAAAATACTGTATGAACTATGTAAACCAACAGTTACTTAGTGGTGCTACATGAATGCAATGTTTTTTACAGATAAAGTTAGTCCACGATTCAGAAAATCTGCAGGAAAATTAATAAGTAAATGTTCATCAAAGCACAGTCAAGGTACAAGATGGAGGAAAGGCCATGTGAACAATTCATTGGCATTGCTGTAAAGAGGAAGGAAAGGGAGAAGTATTTTGAATGTGTTGGATTGGTCCCATCTCTCTGTTTCCTAAAAAACATCTCAAGTGATCACTCTAAATCCTGATTCATCACTCCAAGCACAGCTTGCCAGTTTCAAAACTTTGGCAGTGGAACAGGTAAAACAAGTGCCCCAAACTTTAATACTTCAGCAATATGGGCACTAGCATCAGTCACTAGCATTACCTCTTAAAAGTCTAATAGACATTCCTGTCACCATTCTGTCATTCCATATACTTAGTTGGTGTTTAGTAGCCATACACCAGTTACAGTGTACTCAGGACAGTGTACTCATGTGAGAAATGGTAAATACTCATTGCATAAATCACTGCTGTCTAATAACAGAAGTAGGAATATCAGCAGTCTTATGCTGGAGAACTGTGGTTGCTACAGTAACTTTTCTTTCCACTATGTCTAGACTGGCTTCCTTTTTTTTTTTTTTTTTTAAACACGTTGGCCGGACATGGTGAATGAAAATGTGCGGGGCTTCTTTAGAAGAACTAGACATTTAGCACCAAATCAAATATTTAAACACTTGCACTAGCAAAAAAAAAAAAACCTCTTCAGTTGCAAACTTTTCCATAATTGAGCTCAAGAAAAATGTCCAGTGTCTCAGAACTTACTGCTGTGTTTTGTTGCTCCATGAGTTTTCTCTCTTGACTAAAAAGTTTCACGACGGAATAGTTAGATGTAGTCATTTAGATTTCCTTGCCTATCTTGTCCTAGACAAGGCAACACAAGGAATTAAATAGAAAAACAGAAGAGTTCTCAGATACAAGGGTGGCTTTTTTCACACTTTTCTGACACTTGCATGACAGACGTGAATTCTTTGTGTGGATCAAATGCCACATACTGACTGCTGAGTAGCAAATTTGTACAAGATGAGCGAGCTTTCCTTTTGTATCGCCAATGCCTTGATTCATCAGATTCTCTGCAGGTGAAGCAAAATACAGTCAATCCACCTCAGATGTTCTCAGCCAGACTGTTGAGAGCTGATGCTAGAGGGACTAGATAGCCTAAGGAACCAATACTGTTTAAGTGAAACCCTGCTCAACAGTAGCAACAGCTAGCATCTGATGGCTGTTGCTCCTAATAGACTGGCGTCCATGCCTCAAAAAAAGGTCACCATCATAAGGGGCACTAGCTTGGATAAGTGTGTTTAAATTTTTGTAATATTTTGGAAAGAAATCTCACTCGCTGTCTATAGAACACATACAGTTCTTATTAGTTTTTACTGATTTAATAAAAAGTGACACTGAAACTATGAAAATATGTAAGTTAAAGTCCCCTCTCTTGAAATGAATAAATAATTAAAATCCAACCATTATTGTTTGCAATGTAACCTGATTATTGTCCCCATCCCTCAACAGAAGCTTATTAATAACCAGGCTTTTGAAGAAGGGGGAGTGCAATAAGGGCTAGTATTTGTGCAGTTTTAGAAATAATCTAATTTAAGTATGATGCTGTAAAATTGTTTTGTTATAATGTTCTTAGATGTAATCTTCAATACACTTAAAAACAATCCTCAAACATTTGCCATATGACCTATGCCCGACATATAATGCATGGTATGGCTCAGAACAAATGTCAAATGAATGTTATTAAATAAATTTAATTTAATTACAGATTGGTTTTGTACTTTATCCTCCAAATGGGAGACTGGAATGGAACCAAATGGATCACAATAATATGATGTTCTTGACAATGTGCTATTGCTGGCATTATGCCTTTGCTTTTCTTATACTTGCAGTGAATTACAGTATTGTCAGCTGGTAAGTTAACTATAGAACTAAATTTTGGAGAACCATGTGTCAGTTGCAGCACGAGTGTAAGACTTTAGGCTCATGGGATAAAATCCGTCCCGGCCCCCCGGCCCCGCCCCGATAAAATAAAGATAGGCATTGCTCATTCACGGCCATTACATAACTGATCATTCCAGTGAAAGGGAAAATAAGTACTTTGTGAACAGAATGGTATTTCACCACTGTTAACTGGCATCTCATGTAAATTGAGCTACTTTTGACATTGTTTAGAATTGCATTACAAAAATGAGAGCTGGAAAATACCTTCTAAATCAGTGGTTCTTAACCTTTCAAGACTACTGTACCCCTTTCAGGAGTCTGATTTGTCTTTGGTACCCCAAGTTTCACCTCCACTTAAAAACTATTTGCTTACAAAATCATAAAAATACAAAATGTGTCAGAGCACACTATTTCTGAAAAATTGCTTACTTTCTCATTCTGTCTGTATGAAATTTTAGTTTGTATTGACTTTGCTGGTGCTTTTTATGTAGTCTGTCGTAAAACTAGGCAAATATCTAGATGAGTTGATGTACCCCGGAAGACCTCTGCGTACCCCCAGGGATACGCGTACCCCTAGTTGAGAACCACAGTTCCAGATCTCTGAGAGTAAAGATAGGGGCAGTCCCTACAGTGTGGTGACAAATAGTGCTTGTCTGTGCCAGTTTTAAATGGCTCAAGACAGATGGCTATTACCACTTCATTTGGAGACTATTGCACAGACCAAACAGACTTCGTTGTTAATATTTTCTCCTGACTAAATTTTCTTTTGGCCAGTTTTATCCCATTATTCCTAACTATAGCCATGTGCCTGGTCTCACAGTGTTTAATCTGACAAAACCCCCACTTAAGTCCTGATTTTCTGTGGAATGGTATATTGGAGGAATCCGGCTTGATCACTGTGACAGCAATGTCTAGCCCATCTACCTGTTGTATCATCTTCCTTGATGTTTATACCCTTTTCCATTCTTGCAGGCAATTATATCCCTGCTTGGTCATCCTTTGGCCATATTTAGTTCTTCCAGTATTTCCTCATAAATCAGTCGTTTTGGCTCCTTGATGATAAAAATGATTAACTTTGTGTCCCCTGTAACAATAACCAGATCAGCATTTGACTCATTGTTTAGGTTAGAATGTAAAATTATGTGGCAAACCTCTTCTTTTCTGTCCCCCCACTGTCTCCAGGGTAGTTCGTTCAAAGATTAAACAGGCCCAGTCCGTGGAGATGGGATTACTGAAAACATCTGAACGAGATCAGGAATCAGAAGACGAAATCTAGTTTTGTATAAATTCTGTTTTACCACTTTGCCTTCTTCACCATTAAGATAATTTTTACCTCATTTCTAGACTAGTTTACCATTTTGTTTGTTCTTCATATAACTCGCTATGCAAGTATCATCCATAAAGTACTGTATGTACTTACTTCTACATAATTAGATTCTTATTTGCAGAGTGTAGGCCTGATATTAATTTGTGGTGTTTCCATTAGTACATTGTTCATCACACGCTTTAGTGGAAAAATATTTTCCTATTAGCTGAACTTAGATTGGATGGGGTGACATTGTCAAGTAAAAATCAATTCAGCCCATTAATAGCTGAGCAACATGTTCTCCTCCTGCTGTTGGAGAAACTGGTAAATTTCCAAATATAAATATGTCAAAAAAGCTAAATTTGCTGAATTGCCAGCCATGTACATAAAATAACTGTACAGAACTTTAAAACAATGGAATAAGCACATTATTGATGGAGACCTACATCTGCATTGTCAAGTATATTGAAGGATATCTTTGCTTGTAGTTTCAAATGAAATTGCAAAAAACTGCAAATTGCAAACCCATGTAGCATTTATCTACACAGTCTATCCTTTGTTCGTTACAACATGTGCTCTACCAAATTTCTGCAAGGAGATCAAATAAGTGTAGAAATGACCACTGGGATTGCTCATCATGAGGGGAAGTTACTCATTGCAGTGACTTGACACTCCTATCACCCCTGTGCTTTGACAAGCAGTACATTGACCCTACTTTACAGCCAGGGGCATTGGAACAATTTTTATAGTGGGGGTGCTGAAAGCCTTTGAACAAAACTGTAAACCCTGTATATGATGGAAACCTTACATCAAGCCGGGGGGGGGTGTGCTGCAGCACTCCCAGCACCCTTAGTTCCACATCGCTGTTCACAGCAAGTATAGCAGCCTTTTATAGAAAGGCTTGTGTGTGTCAAACAGAGCAACGTCAGGCGTCCAAGTTAACTCTGTACCCTAAATTCAGCTCCTTTCCCATACTGCAATCTGGTGGGATTTCAGTAAGGCACTGGGGCAGTCACATGACTGGATGCAGTGCACAAATCCACATGCTGTGCTCAGCAATGGCAGCATATGTGCTTGGATGCAGTCTGCAACTGAGGGACCTGATCTGATCTCTGTGCACTCTCTTGGAGGACGTTGATCATTGTAGAACAGAGTGCGGTATGGACACATGCACACAGTGATCATTTTAAAATCAACTCCGCAGGCTTCTTTGTGCATTTCTGAATGTATAGTAATTTGTATTGTACAAATGATTCTGTGATGCCAGGTTTCTTCCACTCCTGCTGCAGTAAGGATACATTCCAATATGAATTGTAGGATTAGGAAATGACTAATACATGGCAAAGAACATTAGTGAGCCTTATTGCATGGAAGCATACTGCCCCCAGGGGGTTCAATACTTGAAGTACATCTGTAACACAACTCATTCTTCAAAAAGCCTATAGTAGTAATTGGTCATGACTGGACATCTGCCATTCAGCAACAATTACTCCTGGGAGAATTCGGCAACAAAAAATTAAAAACTCTGTTCACAATATTTTAAAATTCTGCATATTTTATTTGTCAAAATAATGCAATATAATCACTCTGGTTCCAATTATTTTGGTAATTTATTTAAACTGCAATATAATGGATAGAGAATGGGAGTGGGGAACAGATCACCTTGCCTAATAGTAATGTAGCTAGGTTTGACCCTTTATTTCAAGTCAACAAATATATGCAGCCATATGCTCAGTGTTACAACATAGGCAAATGAAGACCAAGTAAGGGCAGGGGAATCAAACTCACAATTTATGTTGGCTACTGACCATCTCTGAAAGGTCACTAGCCAACAGTTCATGGAGCACATTGTGATAGGAAATTTTTTCAGTCCAAAAATTTAGAGCAGTTCTAATTACTAAAGCACCATCAGCATTTATAAGGCCATACTGTCTTTTATCCTGGGCACTCTGGCAATGTAAAGAAGCCTTAACACTTTTACACCTGTTTTATACTCCTGGGGAAATTCACAAAGACAATGGGAACACTAAGCAGGCAGGCTGCTACATTCTGCTCTGCCTGAGGGGACAGAGCCTGCCCCATGCTTACCTCCTCAGAAACACCCCGAAGCCTGCCCCTCCATGCTGAGCATGCTGCAACAGCAAGTGAGAGGGACAGAGTGTCTCTCTCTCTCTCTCTCTCTCTCTCTCTCTCACGTGCATCCCCCTCCCGGCAGTGATTTACGTTTCTACCGGCTGCCCAAACTGACCTGCCTGCACTGCTGGGAAGGGGCACATGACCGCTCTTGTGGCTTCCCTGCCAGAAGTCATTTTTCTGTGGAGAAGCAAAGAAATCTGCGGGGGACATGAATTCTGTGCACGCACAGTGATGCAAAATTCCCCCAGGAGTAAACAGTTGCTGTTATTGTAGGTTCCACTGCCAGATAAGTGAGTACAATAGGAATTCTGAAGGCAGTGATACACAGCAGCCATCAACTGTAGGGCAGTTACTCTGCAAAAGGAGCCTCTTGCTTTCAGAATACATCCTTTTAAAATATTAATATTTATATATTGTACACATTGCATTTAAAAACAGGATGTTGCACAGTAACGTAATGTAAAAATTCCAGTTGGACAGTAATGTAATGTAAAAATTCCAGCCCACTGAGTCTGAAACTAGAGACATACTTTTTTTTCTCTTAGTGGTCTCATGTTTTCATCAGACACTCCAAGGCAAGATCCCAGTTCTGCAGTCCTTATGTAAGCAGTCATACTCACTGATGGAGGTGAGTAAGGGCGGCAGGATCTGGACCTAAATTTGTGGGCTTCATCTGAATTTATCCTTGTCCCTTCGATATAAAGCAGAAAAAAAGTATAGCTTAAATAAAGCTAATTACAGTAAGCCTATATAAAACTATTATTTAAAGTAGTTTATAGCTGTAAGGAAACCCAAGGATAAGGAGAAAAGCTCAAGACCCTTTACCTATAGCTACTTTATCTTTAAATGCACACAAATACACTATAGACTAAATTTTTCAGGGAATCTTCCCTTCAGCTGCCAGTTCTTTAAAGGTTGGAGCTGGTCACTTTAGAAGAATTTCCGGCTTTTCAGAGCTTTTCTAATATAAGCTACATTTTAAAATCTTTAACTCTGACCTAAATTTAAAAATGGTGCACATGTTAAATTGACCGTTAAGCACTTTGCTCAGGTACAGCACAGGCAGCAGCAATGCAAGCGTTCTCATTGCCCTGCCAATAACCATACTTAGTACTGTAAAACTGTTAATGTGCCTCAAGCCCTGATCTGAAGGGACCATGTAAGCAGGAGAAGAGGGCAGTAACTCACTGAGCACTGGAAACGTTAAAGGATGCAGTTTGCTTGGAGTATTTTTTTCAATATAAAAGATTTTAGATGGTCACTTTGAATTACTTCTGGTCCCCACCAAGTATCTTGCTACTTGTCTCTAGATCTGAGAATAATTATGGATTACTAATAAATATGAACCTGAATCAAAACCTTGGAACAGAACACTCCCAAACTTTCCATCTAAATTCTTATACTACCCATCACTGTGAGATGGGAAAGTTTAGATCCAGATCCAAACTTTACAGTTGGTATCCATTGCTAAATAATCATTTGTTCTTCTGTAGTGCCTTTCACTGGAGGCTTTTGCAACTCTTTGCAAACCTTAATGAAGTCTGCTTCACAATACTCCTGTGAGTTAGGTGTCATTGCTCCCATTTTATATATGGGCATTTCCATATCAGCAGGGTTTAGTCATACTGCAGTCCATGACATTACCTTCATAGTGCAGTTGAAACTCAGGAGGAAGTGGTACCTACCCCACTCTGCAAATCTAGGATTTTTGTGGCACTCGAAGGGCCATATTCTCCCATTAATTACACTAGTGGAGCCTCATGAAAATAAAATTTTCTGCGGGCATAAATGAAGGCAGCTCCATTGAGTTCAAAAGAATTTTGTCTGTTTACACCAGCAGAAGATTTGGCTCAGTGTGGTTGTCATTGAACCAGAGACAATGACCATAATAAAAAAAAATGTCCATAGGGCAGCCTGGGGTTGAACTCAAGGTGCTAACCAGAGTTAAAAGCAGCATTGCTGTGTCTTAATTGCTATTCTAACCTGAGTTATCCAATGTGGATTAGCTAACCAAATGAAGAATACACTTTTCTGGAGGGGCAATGTAGACATACCCTAAAAGTGGATGCCTCTTTGCTCCTCCTTTCCCTGTCTCAGCCCTAGAATTCTGACACTGAACTCTTGGAATTACCAGAGTTCAGGTAATTAAACCCTGGCATAATTCCATCAGTGGTGATAATGCCATAGGTTGTTGTGAGGGAAAAATCAGATATGATTCACAATCTGCTGAGAAGGGACATGTACAGCTCCCTGTGCTAGATTTAGTGAGTGATCCATTCAGGTGTCTGAGAATTGGATGACCAAGTTTGCTGGGTACATTTTGTCTGTTTTAGGCAGATAGAAATCTCCAGAAATGACACTTCCAGAATTCCAATTTAGAAGTTAGAAGTCAACACTTTTTGTAACTAATCCTATCATTCATTTTATGCACAAAATACCTCCTTTTACTAAAGATGGCATTACAAAGAGGCAAAATAAAAACAGATTTTAAAGTGTTCAGGATGTTCAATAATTTTCCCTCCAAGTTTTTCTTCCCCTATCTCATGCTGTCTTTACCAAATCTGTCTTGTAGACAAGCTTCTTACTCTACTGTAAAGATGGAACTGAATTTATACCCTACCTCTCAACAAATACAAGCATTGGCATATGTTGGAATCTGAACCTTAATATCAAGGCTGACACGAACTCTGTAATGGACCAAATCAAAACCGCAGAGCTGAATACACCTGCACCCCAAACCTTAAAATGTTCAAAATCCAGATCTGAATCTTTCAGCTCAGGCCCATCTCTACTCTAAAGCTAGTAACTTACTGGCTTCTCATGGTTCATTGTGAGTAGTTGTTAACACATAAGGCTTGATCCTACTAAGTGGTGAGACCTCAACATCCACTGACTTAAGGTGAGAATGATAAATATTATTTCAGTGATGCTTTTGTCTCTCTACCCCACAAATACTGCAGTATAACGCCTACTTTCAAATGATAAGAAAAATAAGAAACTAACTTCAATACATGCACAATTATTTGATGATTTAAATGTCTCAAATTTGGAGACACATGGGAAAAAAACAGATGCTAGAGCCTCAAATTTTAAGACTTCTTGAATTTCTGTACAAATGTCTGGTATTAAAATGATCAAATACAAGTAAAAGCGAAGGGAAAACTCTAATATAAAAAGGTGCAGTCACTTTCTCAAACTGTCTAGTATTGTTGTAATAACAAAAGGAAAGAAACCAAGCAGTATATTTTTAGGAAGAAATTTTTTTTTAAAGCAGAAAGATTCATCGGGTGTCTTCAAAGGCTGTTCCTGATTGGTTATGTTTTGAACACTACTCTCTGTTAACACTAAAGAAATATGACCTTTGGCATTCCTTTATCAATAGTTTCTGTTTGAATGCAGGGAAGGGATGGAAGTATGCCGGGTTTACACACATACCATTTGAAAAATATAGTGCTTTACTGAAACCTTAAGTTATTGTTAAATATTGGTGCCTTTAAAAAAAAACCACAATAGTTCATAACAAACAAGACGTGCCTGTAATTTTATTTAAATAAAACTGATTTATGCATTGCTGAAGTCTGTCATCTCTTCAGTGGAAAGGCTTGACTGCATAGAGGAGTGTGTGTTTTTACAAGTCTGATGCCCTCTGAGGACAGAGTTGATTGACTGGCAACTTCCTGAATGCCAGTTCTGCCTTGATGTCCAGTTCACCTTCCTTGCCGTTCACAGGGATGAAAGAAGGCATTTTGGAGGCAGTGCCACTGGGTCTGTACTAAGCACAAATCCACAAGAGCCAAATACCATGTTAGAGGGGAATGGCAGGCTATGTGTTCTCCTTTCCTGCTCATACCATGCAGCCAGCCAGCAAGGCCACCCAAGCTGAAGACCTTCCGTCATGTGTTGGAACTGAGGATTCCTTTGCTACTGTGCTTCCAAGTACACACTTTGGCATTTCTCCTATTATCAACGTCAAATACTAAAAATCATAGAATCATAGAACTGGAAGGAACCTCGAGAGGTCATATAGTACCGTGCCCTGCACTCATGGCAGGACTAAGTATTATCTAGTATTATCCCTGACGGGTGATTGTCTAACCTGCTCTTAAAAATCTCCAACGATGGAGATTCCACAACCTTTCCCTAGGCAATTTATTCCAGTGCTTAGCCACCCTGACAGGAAGTTTTTCCTAATGTCCAACCTAAACCTCCCTTGCTGCAATTTAAGCCCATAGCTTCTTGTCCTATCCTCAAAGGTTAAGAAAAACAATTTTTATCGCTCCTCATTGTAACAACCTTTTATGTATTTGAAAACTGTTATCCTGTCCCCTCTCAGTCTTCTCTTTTCCAGACTAAACAAACCCAATTTTTACGATCTTCCCTCAATAGATCATGTTTTCTAGACCTTTAATCATTTATGTTGCTCTTCTCTGGACCCTCTCCAATTTGTCCCCTTCCTTCCTGAAATGTGGCTCCCAGAACTGGACACAATACTCACATGAGGCCTAATCAGCGCAGAATAGAGCAGAAGAATTACTTCTCGTGTTTTGCTTACAACATTCCTGCTAATACATCCCAGAATGGTGTTTGCTTTTTTTCCCCAACAGCGTTACACTGTTGACTCATATTTAGCTTGTGGTCCACTGTGACCCCCAGATCCCTTTCTGCAGTACTACTTCCTAGGCAGTCATTTCCCATTTTGTATGTGTGCAACTGATTGTTCCTTCCTAAGTGGAGTACGTTGCATTTTTCCTTATTGAATTTCATCCTATTTACTTCAGACCGTTTCTCCAGTTTGTCCAGATCATTTTGAATTTTAATCCTTGCATCCGAGAGTGCTGAAGGAACTGGCGGCTGTGATTGCAGAGCCATTGGCCATTATCTTTGAAAACTCGTGGCGAACCGGGGAAGTCCCGGATGACTGGAAAAAGGCTAATGTAGTGCCAATCTTTAAAAAAGGGAAGAAGGAGGATCCTGGGAACTACAGGCCAGTCAGCCTCACTTCAGTCCCTGGAAAAATCATGGAGCAGGTCCTCAAAGAATCAATCCTGAAGCACTTGCATGAGAGGAAAGTGATCAGGAACAGCCAGCATGGATTCACCAAGGGAAGGTCATGCCTGACTAATCTAATCGCCTTCTATGATGAGATTACTGGTTCTGTGGATGAAGGGAAAGCAGTGGATGTATTGTTTCTTGACTTTAGCAAAGCTTTTGACACGGTCTCCCACAGTATTCTTGTCAGCAAGTTAAGGAAGTATGGGCTGGATGAATGCACTACAAGGTGGGTAGAAAGCTGGCTAGATTGTCGGGCTCAATGGGTAGTTATCAATGGCTCCATGTCTAGTTGGCAGCCGGTATCAAGTGGAGTGCCCCAAGGGTCGGTCCTGGGGCCGGTTTTGTTCAATATCTTCATAAATGATCTGGAGGATGGTGTGGATTGCACTCTCAGCAAATTTGCGGATGATACTAAACTGGGAGGAGTGGTAGATACGCTGGAGGGGAGGGATAGGATACAGAAGGACCTAGACAAATTGGAGGATTGGGCCAAAAGAAATCTGATGAGGTTCAATAAGGATAAGTGCAGGGTCCTGCACTTAGGACGGAAGAACCCAATGCACAGCTACAGACTAGGGACCGAATGGCTAGGCAGCAGTTCTGCGGAAAAGGACCTAGGGGTGACAGTGGACGAGAAGCTGGATATGAGTCAGCAGTGTGCCCTTGTTGCCAAGAAGGCCAATGGCATTTTGGGATGTATAAGTAGGGGCATAGCGAGCAGATCGAGGGACGTGATCGTTCCCCTCTATTTGACATTGGTGAGGCCTCATCTGGAGTACTGTGTCCAGTTTTGGGCCCCACACTTCAAGAAGGATGTGGATAAATTGGAGAGAGTCCAGCGAAGGGCAACAAAAATGATTAGGGGTCTGGAACACATGAGTTATGAGGAGAGGCTGAGGGAGCTGGGATTGTTTAGCCTGCAGAAGAGAAGAGTGAGGGGGGATTTGATAGCTGCTTTCAACTACCTGAAAGGGGGTTCCAAAGAGGATGGCTCTAGACTGTTCTCAATGGTATCAGATGACAGAACGAGGAGTAATGGTCTCAAGTTGCAGTGGGGGAGGTTTAGATTGGATATTAGGAAAAACTTTTTCACTAAGAGGGTGGTGAAACACTGGAATGCGTTACCTAGGGAGGTGGTAGAATCTCCTTCCTTAGAGGTTTTTAAGGTCAGGCTTGACAAAGCCCTGGCTGGGATGATTTAACTGGGAATTGGTCCTGCTTCGAGCAGGGGGTTGGACTAGATGAGGGTCCCTTCCAACCCTTATATTCTATGATTCTATGATCCTATCCTCCAAAGCACTTGCAACCCCTTCCAGCTTGGTATCATCCGCAGACTTTATAAGTGTACTCAGTATGCCATTATCTAAACCATTGATGAAGAACAGAACCGGACCCAGAAATGATCCCTGCGAGGTTAACCTTCCAGCATGACTGTGAACCACTGATAACTACTCTCTTGGAATGGTTTTCCAACCAGTTTTGCACCCATCTTATAGTAGCTCCATCTAGGTTGCATTTCCCTAGTTTGTGTATGACACAGTCATACGAGACAGTATCAAAAGCATTCCTAAAGTCAAGATATACCACGTCTACCACTTCCCCCCATCCACAAGGCTTGTTACCCTGTCAAAGAAAAATATCAGGTTGGTTTGACATGATTTGTTTTTGATAAATCCATGCTGACTGTTACTTATCACCTTATTATCTTCTAGATGTTTGCAAATTGATTGCTTAATTATTTGCTCCATTATCTTTCTGGGTACAGAAGTTAAGCTGACTGGTCTGTAATTCCCTGGGTTGTCCTTATTTCCCTTTTTATAGATGGGCACTATATTTGCCCTTTTTTTTAATCACGATTAATTTTTTGAGTTGATCATGTGAGTTAACTGCAATTAATTGACAGCCCTAGTTAAAAGGGATAAAGTCAGCACTCAGACCTCTATCTGCCCACATCATACATTGTGAATTCATGAGTCTGAAATAATTGCATATGAGATTTCTAAAAAATACCAGCAGGAATTCCTGAAGCTCTAGAAACAGCCTTCAGTGAATGAGGAGAGTCTGGTACCATACCTGTTGTCTAGTAAAAAAGTGAATGTAGTGCCCATCTTCAAGAAAGGGATAACTGGGAAATTGACAGCCAATTGACCTTAGTGTCTTCAACATACCTGAAGGCCAGGTTCCATGGAAGAGTATCAGGGTGGACCTCTTCTGTGCAGCTTTTGGCTCTAGTTGTAAAATTTTTTCACTTACAAATCAACTTCTTTGAGATAAGCAGTGGGGAGTACTAGAGGTTAGGGATAAGTACAGTGTGTAAGGATAGCATTCTGCACCCTCTAAAAGTTACAGATTCTGCTGAAGAGAAATGGAAACTTTTCTAGATGTTAGCAGGCCAAGTAATTATAGTGACTGTGAGAAAATATTTCTCTAAAGCTGTGCATTGTGTTTGTTCACAATACAGCAGAGGTGGGACAGCAGTGTCTTGAGGCCCCAGAATCTTATGTAATACATCTTTCACTCAGCATGCAAAGTTTGGGGCTCCTTTAGAGCCCAGAGACTTGGTGTTGGACCATTTAACCTTTACATAGTTCTTACTGGATGCTCTAATCTGGTAGAGCTGTCCACTCTAGGGGTTTCCCCCACACCATGTGGGTTCTCAGACCCTGTAACAGGAAGGAGGGTAGTACTTGGGGGAGAAGAGGGAGGGGTGCCACAAGAGGCCAAAAAAAAAATTAAAATTAAAAATGGAGCCAGGTGGCAAGGTCTGAAATTAAAATACTGTTACTGAAGCTGCTTCATCCAGATTATGATGGACCAACCACTTTTTGAGACCATTTATAGCCATGGGGAAGGGGGAACCCATCAGTTCCTGGGAAAATCCCCTCGGATGAGCTGTCTTTCCCCACTCCCTGGCCTCCTGGGTTAAGACAATGGGAGCTGCTCCACATACTGAGGGGCTTCTTCCTCCCCCAGTGCATAGAGCAGGGAGAGTTCCCTCCGCAGATGCTCCTCACCTGGCTCTGCAGCTCCTTTGCTCCAACTCGTCCAGGTAGGTCAGGGACCTGGGGGGGAGAGAGAGAGTATGTGTATGTGTGTGCATGTGAGAGACAGCGAGCTGAAACTCCTTCCTGCCATCCATGTGCTTGGGGGAGAGGTCAGAGACTTCCTGCTGCACCCCACCCAACCCCACTCAACCTCACACTGGGAACTGAGAGAGCAGCCAAGGAAGAAGCAGGAGCCCAGTGCTGACGGAGCTGCATCAGCATCTGGGGAGAGGTGTGTGTTTGGGGTGTCTGCGAGGGAGTCTATGATGACAGCATTTGTGGGGGGTGGGAGAAGGGCAAGATGAAATCAGTGTGTATGTGGATGGGAAACAGAGCAATTAATTGGGGGCAAAATTATTCGATGTGTATGGAATGAATGATTTCAATTTGAGGGTGGAAAAATTAATTGGTGGTGTTTGGGAAGACATTGATTGATTGGGTGGGGAAGGACGAGGGCTTGTCTACA